ATTTTATTATTTAGCCTGAGCGAAAATCCTGGCGCGGATCAGCTCTGGCCTGCTCATGTGGTCAGCAGCATCTCACGCCAGTTCTTTATTTCTGCTTCAAGAATTCAGTGAAACCAAAGTTTCAGGCTAATCACGATAATGGGGAGGTGAAAGCGGAACGTATGCATCGCATCTACCGCATGTTCTCCTCTCCATCGGCTCAAGGACCGTCTCTGGAAACAGTCACAGCATTTCTGATGAAGAAAGTGAAGATGAACCTCCTCACATACAACAACGGATTCTTCCGTGTCGTCAAGGAGAGCACCAGCAAGACGGGAGAGCGGTGAAAGTAGCTCCTGCAGTGTAGATGGCAGCTTTTTCCATGTGATGGAGAGTCGTGTCAGTGGTGGCTATGCCTGCTTTGAATATTTCTGTTACAACTCTTAGTAGAGTTGCTCGTCACACTGTTATTTCCTTTGTTTCATTCAGAATATCTGCAAATACCGGGTGCTACCTAATCTCAATTTTTTATCATAGTGTACTTTGAGCTTGATTGTTTGAATAAATGTGTTTGGTGTGTTAGCCACTTGTTGTTATCTTTTTAGCTCCTACTTTATGTCAATCACAGTATTCGCGATCGCCCGGTTCTTTGATAATTTGCTACTTCTTCTGTGATCAGCTACCCGGTTCCGTTTCAGTTTATATGTTTTTGAATAATTTAATGATACGTGATATTGCTGAGAAAATTTTGGACGCTTTCGGCTTGGTGTGGGCACAAGTAGCATTCAGCGAAGCGTGCACGTCATCTAATGGACATCAACATTGAGTGGCCGTACGGCGCACTTGTTCCATTTTGCAGCTTTACATTAGTTTAAAAGTCTCATCAAAATGAAACTTGTTAGTTGACTGAACTAGCAACACGGCCAGCGAAAGTGCAGAATGCCCCAGCTAAGCCGAACGGCGCCAAATTTCATGGTAACCATGTGAATTTGTTTTTGTTTCTTTAGTTCTTGCTTTGTATTCTCCATGACTTTTCTACTAATTAGGACTGAAACATCAGGATATTACGATTGTACATACAAAGAAAACCTGCAGAAGTCGCGTTAGATCGCAGTCATACTTTGCGAATGAGGAGAATCCGCGACAAAAGATTACCCGGAAATCGATGGACTTCTAATCGCGGATTCAGTTTGTGAATACGGCCCTACAGTGCCATGAACAAGAGGCGTCGCGACCGTGCGCGGATTAGGCTTGGCAACATTGTTGACGATTGTTTTGATACATAAACGTTTTTTCTTCTCTGATTACAATTGCCAAAGGGTTCCACTGACATATACTGTTATTTCCAAAGTTTCCAGTTGTGGCCCTTCGCTTACCTTGAAGGCATTTCAGTAGCCTAATGCGTAACGTAAATCATATTCATAAATAGAGTAATTCCCAAGAAGAAGCTTAGGGCTCGCTCCAAAAAAATTTGAATATGTGCAGCATTTGAAGAGGCGGAGGTGGTGTAGTGACAAGTGGCGCGCTTACCACTCGCGCGGCGCCGGGTTCAAATCCCGGGTCGACTCCCGCCCAGGCCAACCAAGCCTTCTACCCTCCGGGGACGGTAAATTGGTACCAGATTCGTCTGGGAGGATAAAACACTGACTTGTACATCGGCTGGCCACCGCAAGTCATTGTATAGGCCACATCGCATTCAATAAGCCACTACGATTCTGAATGGAAGTAGAATGCGTGCCGCATCCCACAAAGGGATTGATCAACGGCGAAGACTTTATCCTTTTATCGTTTATGTGCAGCACACAGGAAATTGTACCTTTTAATGTTTCTGAGGGAAGCGTTAGCACTAAAAGCGCTTAGCCTAGAGCGTTTTTCCACTTCTGAACCGAAAAACCTTGTATAATCTGACCTGAGCTGAGGCCTCTCTGGAAGTGGTCTGTAACGTTCATAAGACCGCATGTGAACCATTTCTCAATATCTGGGTTGAAGGGCAATGCAGGCGTTGTGCAACACTACGTCACTGGTCACCCTTGCGCAACAAATTGCAAGAATTGCGCAATAAGTACAAATAAGCAGGGACGGGGTTTCAGAATCCATTATACCTCGTGTCCGTAAATGATCTTGTTTTGTATCGCTCCAACTGTATTGCATGATTTTTAGTCCCTCCCGACCAGGTTGGAGCCTTACACGACGATACTTTTGTTACTTTAGTCTTTGCAGGTCACCAGTTATGCAGGAAGAAGAGATGTTCAATAGGAGAAGGAAGGTGAGTACAACAACATTCAAAAGAGAAAAAAGGAATGAAAAGTGTCTCATTGAACCAGTCGCTATGAAGTGGAATGATGCGCTACAGGGTCATATTATAGCCAAGTTGCATTCATATAATACAGCTCCAAATCATCTATCAGTACAAAACCGTACACTTCTCGAATCAGCCAGAATAGCGAGCTTTTACCTCCTAGAAGAAAAGAAACTGTTGCATGCAGCCGCTCGTCACCAAATACACGTCAGTCGGGTCGGATTGACGCAGAGCGCGTGGTCGCATGAGTCGCGTCAGCATTGTTCATTTGTGAGCTGATTGTTGTGATGAACGAGTTGCTCTCGCAACTGGAGGAGTTTTTTCTCATTCCTTTTTTATGGATAAATGTTTTCCTTTGAAGGTGTCGGTTGTGAACACCAATGAGAATGGCACAGGCATGAATATATTTCGAAGTGCTGGCTAGAGCGTTCTTGTTTTCACATGACTTTTCTTTCCATTTTTTGTTATGGTTACAGTGGCTGTCTTCGAATTCAGCTTTTGGGGGTAGTAAGCTCATTATATAATAGGAGTATTGTACTAATAGGTTTTGCTGCTTCTATACAAGTTACCATACCTGCTTCGTCCAACATATGTTCGCAGTTCTATACGCTAACGTTAATGTTATAGTCGTAATGTCTTCGTGACCTGCAGTGTCAAGGGAACGGCAATCTACTTACTTCCATTGATTTTTTTTTCTCTTTCAAGATGGTGGACGCCACTCAGGCTGCGTTCATACCTTTGTCACATAAGGGAAGTGAAGAATCGTGGGATTGGGAGATTCCGTGGGAAGGAGAATATGCGCATCGAAATCCGGAAATTTGGAGTATCAGCGAGTTCTGGAATGTGCGAAGAAAATTACACCCTTATCAATCGACCTCTTGTTCTCCAACTCGTCGATTCTCTTTTTCTCCGATCGATACATATGCTTTCCTTTTCATCATGGGGAGGGGGTACCACTCGTCGGTGCCACTGTAATCACTCTCCTGATGAAGCCTTAATTTCTTTTCAGTGGGGACTATGTCTTCCCTGCGGGACTGTCCCCTCTGGTCGTCTGCTCTCTAGCCTGAAGCTGCGTTCATACTTTTCGTCGGCGCTTTAAGTGTCTTGAGCGGTAAAGACTACGAGTATCGATCTAGCTTTCTGAGCCCGCCGCGAGCTTCGCGCGATTAGTGCGAAGTATAAACATATGCTAACGTGATGTTTTTAAAAACGTAGCGTATCTGACTGTGGGCCTATAATGCTAACGTGATGTTTCTGAAAACGTAGCGTATCTGACTGTGGGCCTATACTTTGGGCCATTCCGTATTCATTAACTGTTGCTGCGTCTTTCAATGAGGGTTTTTGGATGTTGCTCATATAAAAAGAGTTGAATGCATGAGCAGTAGATCATACGTGCGCAGCATTCAGAATTGTTCCGACATTATTCCGTCCACTTTGGCTTCAGTGTTCCTTCCTCGGCATTGCTCTATTATTGTGAAGATGTTGTTTATTATTGTCTTACGTTGATCAGGTATTTAACGAAGTTGCATGAGGTGATAGAAACATCATGGCGGGCGCTTTCAATCCCGCGGACCTCACCGAGGAGGAGATGAGTCAGTTACGGATATTGCGAAAGCGCAAAATGGAGCTCATGAGTGAGATCGACCACATCAAGAATGAGGTACGCTCCTCTGATTCTTTTCTTTTTTACTACAGTTACTTTTTTGCCTTCTATATATGTGACTTTAGAATTGTCTGCTTTTATCCTTTCGAATTAGTTCCTTAATGTGGGAAAGCATAGATTTTTTTCTCAAGGCCGTGTAATCGTAACACTGACGAACTCAAGAGAATTTTGAGGATATATCGCTCTCATGCTATAGCCGCAAAGTTCCTCTCATTTTTCATTAGTTTCTAGCAATGTCGTTCTGCTTTGCGTTCTTATTGCAGGCGCTCGTCTCCTTTCGATTCTATGGTTCGACTTTTGTTTGGCTCATAATTTCTGGGTCTTGCAGCTGATGCTCACCGCCCTCACAACCCTCTTGTCACCTGAATCGGAAGCAACAAAGAGCCATGGGTTGATGTAGAGTGGAAGTGTGAAAAAGAGCTCGACAAAAGCTTCTGAAAAGCTCGACATCTAAGCGACGATGTCGCAGAAAAGAGGGTGCAGCTTTGGACAAGTACGGTCAATTCAAGGAATCTTTTCCGAAGAGCTCCCACAATTTTTCGACTCAGTCGCTAGTATAGTAAAGTTGTTGTTCGGGTCAGATTAAGTTAAATAATAATCATGCGCTTTGCAAACTCTAGTAATGAAGGCATCGTTCGCTACCCAGATATTTCCTCGTTTGCAGTAAAGCTTGGGATTCACAACACAACCGACGTAAGCGTATGAAGTATAGAGTTTTAGGGTAGCAGCGATAATATGAAAGAGGCGCCTATTGTCTGTCTCTCCTGCCTTTGTTCGAACTCGATTTTCGTTTTTGTTTCGGATTTATTGTCACCCTTCACATATGAATCGAGGCATAACAGGATAGCCCTTTGTTGCATATGACTGAGCCTTAATGTTGTTTATAGGAACTGTTTGATGATATTTTAGACCAATATCGTTGCGCGCTCTGATGAGTCAGTTCGTATACGAAAAACATGTCTTTCTGAACAGCAGTCTCAAGGAGAACATATACTCCCTAGGGAAGGTCGTCAGGTCGAAGTGGCCATTTGTGATGAGATGTAGATCACTAGACGTGGTTTTGGACGCTGATCTTGAATCTGCCTTCAAAATTTGCAAAGCGATTCTCTGAACGGAGTTATGGAGCCGCGTTTACCACGCAACAGGTCATGGGATCGGATCCCTGCTGAGCTTAACTTTTTTGCTTGTTGCGCAAACGTGGCAAAAAGTGATTTTGCCGTCACTACTACTTCAGTTCTCACCTGAGCTTGTCTGAAGAAAAGTTTGCCTCCATTTATTACTGCGCTTGGACTCCTTGTAGAAGCACTGTAGTGCACTGTAGTCTACAAGGAGTCCAAGCGCAGTAATAAATGGAGGCAAACTTTTCTTCAGACAAGCTCAGGTGAGAACTGAAGTAGTAGTGACGGCAAAATCACTTTTTGCCACGTTTGCGCAACAAGCAAAAAAGTTAAGCTCAGCAGGGATCCGATCCCATGACCTGTTGCGTGGTAAACGCGGCTCCATAACTCCGTTCAGAGAATCGCTTTGCAAATTTTGAAGGCAGATTCAAGATCAGCGTCCAAAACCACGTCTAGTGATCTACATCTCATCACAAATGGCCACTTCGACCTGACGACCTTCCCTAGTCAGTTTGAAGTTGGTTAGATTGGGGTAGATTTGGAAAACATCTCGGGAAAGATTACTGTGAAATTAAGCTGCTTCGGTATAGGCTCATGCGGCAGAGAGGGGTTGAAGTTCATAGTTACTGGAAGCTTAGCGGAGGTAGTTCAGGTAGGACACAGTCTGCAGAGAAGCGCGACCGAACAAAACCTCCGCTCACCATTTTTTAAGCCATGTACTGCATCTCCAAGAGTAAAACGAAAATGAATTTCTGAAAAGGTTTGGTCTGAAAGAGGGAGAAGTCGGCGTGCTCTTCACTTGTCCCTCCGCTTCATATCGTTTCTGAATTTCGTACCAACTTTTTGGTGGTATGCTGGTAGCAACTACGTTGCTTTTTTAGCCCAAATTTTCTGGATGCGTCCGTTCTGGAGTTGATTGAGCCTCCACTAGTCCCCTATATGAGCATTTTCGTGGTCGTTTTCTGAGTTCTGAAATTTCCGTTATTTTTGCATCTGAACTAAATTTCTGGGTGCCGGGAGCGTGTTTTTCTACTATTAGCAGCGTTCAAATGCAATTACGTGGGGACATTGGTACGTCGGTGACATCATTTTTACGCTCACTGAACTGGCGATTCTTTTTTTTCTGCTCACTTATGGCGACAAAGCGACAGCGCTCTGAGGTTCATTGTAACTTCATTTTTATTGTAATCTAGTTTGTAACAGTTTTCGTTTTTTACCCACGCTACATGGCAACACCCTATAATCTCTAATATTCATATTAAGAATTACGTAATGTGGTAGGCTTTTGAAACAGAGCTACACGGCAGAACAAGGGAACATGCTGAGTTCTGAGTAGAATAAGCTCAGAGAATGCTTCCCGAACATTCAGCGCAATATTGGGTCGCATAAGAAGCTACCGCGGTTTTTCGCCACAAGCCGGTTCTGATATCCTATCTCGAGCTACACCCACCGATTGTCTGGAATAAGCATATGCTGTTTAAAATGAAGCATTCCAGCTCACATTTCCGCCGAGATAGTTCTCTTATTCGCTGCTCATTAGAAAAGTATATTAATTCGAATATGAATGAAATGTCTGAAGAAATGCGATATTCGGTGCTTTTGTTACCGTAAAAAAAGGCGAATGGCTGTAAGAACATGCCAAAGTCTGTGAAGTGGTCGACGAAATTGCTGTAGTGAACGAAAGACCTAGAAATGCTTTGCTGAAATCGGTTCCGAAAGGATGTTGAGGATGAACATCGCTCTGGCCGGTCAGTGTCCGGGGGGGGGGGGAAGCGTGGGTGTGGAGTTGGAAGGGAATTGTCTGTTGTGAGCTGTTGCAACCTGGCGAGATTATCAATTCGATCACGCACCGTCAGACTAGTATCTGTTTCGATCCCTGCGAGTTTCTCGCGCCGCTAAGAAATGGGCCGACAGAAATGCCTCTGAAAATTACTTGGCCAAGTTTTTCACCAATAAGCCGCAGGGGCTTCTATGGAACCATGAAATTACCAGATAAATGGCAAAAAGATCAAAGTATTATAGTCGATATATTTTGATTGGCAATAACAAATGTTTGTCCACGTATGTGCAAAAATAACCGCGGAGACTTTTTATACCACCTAATTTAATGTGCATGTTTTTATGATCCTATCCTTATATCCTTATTTGCTTTTAAATAATTTGATTACTACTCATGAAGGCTTGGATAATTTTATTTTGGATTTTTTAGCTCCGAGACGTCGATGCCGAACTTGAGTCATTATACTATGTAGATGAAGGGTCGCGATCACGGCATAAGCTAATATTCACGGGAAAGAAAAAGTTCAATCAAGATCCGGTGCGGGGTATTGAATATCTCACTGACCGTGGCTTATTAAGTCGTCAACCGAGTGCTATAGCTCAGTGGTTGTTCAAGGTGAACAATTCTGGTCATTTAGTCATTTGCCTGTATGAGAAATGCTTATGTCGAAAACATTCAGGGTGAAGGGCTCTCAAAAACGGCCATCGGTGAACTGCTCGGACTGCACGAGCCGTTCTACCTTGAAGTACTTGATCAATTTGTACTGTGTCATACCTTTCAGAATATGTTCATAGTTGATGCTCTCAGGTTAGTTTCAGGGCGTAATTGCAATTCGAACTTTTTGGAAGCTACTTTTGATTTATGCCAAGTTTTTATACTTCATCACTATTATTTATATATTCGAATTTGAGCGTTTTCTCATGACTTGTTTTCCTGTTGTGTTATTTATGAGATATCATCCATCCGACCCCGCTTGCTCATCAGAGCATGCTTTTTCATATCCATTTGATCGTCCGGCCGAAAAACGCTAGCGCTGGCCGTAAAGTCACCAAACCTCCTTTCCTGAGGGTCCACTATATGTTGACTGGTTTTTCTTTCCAGAGCATTCCTGTGGTCTTTTCGTCTACCTGGCGAATCGCAGAAGATTGATCGGATTATGGAAAAATTTGCTCAACAGTACGTTGCTACTAATGAAGGTGAGGTCCTTTTTACACCTATTGTGATACTTTCCGTTACAGTTCAATTTTTCTATATTTTGTTGGTTATCTATGGGTTATTCGAAAAGGATAGTGCACACAACATCGATTAACCCTTTTTATGGGATTTGCTGCACATTTTCCTTTCATCATAGCCTTTTGAATGCGATTCGAACAGTCCGCTAAACATTTGGTTTAACTGAAGTGTAAGTTATTTTCCGCCAGATTTATCCTTCTGAGCGGTTCCGATACCAATCAACGCACTGATGTAGGCAGTCTTTTTTTCTCTACTCTGGGATGCACGTTCTGCTGGATTCCCCTACATCGAAACAATGCCAAGAGGGCAAAAACTCAATGCAGAAGCTATGGAGGTTTCGGTTCTGATTAATTTCAAAATGGACGAGAAACCTCCCTGAAGTTGCCCTATCTGGTGCACGCGGAACTTTGGATCAAGCTCGACAACGGCCATTCCACTGCAGAATTATAAACGACATTCGATGGGGTCCTCATGAGTTGCGTAAACTTGCCAACACACCGCCCCTACCCTACTTCTCTTCACTGTTTCATTGTCCTGTTGGTTGCTTCCATGTTATTTCCAGTAGGTAATCCTTATGCACATCTCCTCCGCTTTTTCCCCATTTTTACACAACATTCTACCAGTCATCTCCTCACCATGTATCATTTCTCAATCTGCTTGCCTCTTTTCATCAAAACAATAGAGGATATTGCATCCTACACTTGTGCCTCACGTAGTTCTGACCATGATATAGTACGTAAATAGCCTATCAGCTGGCCAGTGGCAACAGATTATAGCCTACAGGGAGTGCATGGTGTACAATCTCACTTCACAATCCATTATGTCATGTGACTTCACGCTGAGTATCTGCGCGAAGCCAGCTAACTTTTACCAGTCCAAGATTTGTGAACGCTACACTGGGTGTTTGGCTGACGACTGTCTCGTCTGCGGTCTAGTAATCCGAACCACCACGCTAAATCAAGTACAAGGCATGCATCAGACTGTATTGACGCAACCTATTATACGTTACTCCGTAATCTACTGTAATTTCTCTCGGCGTTTTTTTCTGACTCCTTATTCAGTCCAGACGATGGAACTCGTCGTAAAACTATGGGAGTCACTGCATTATCATGAAATAACAGATATAAGCGCATTTCTCTCGCAGTTTCGACCGTTACACTCCTTTTTTGTTTTGTTGCCGGCAGTTTCTGCAGCTTTCTTGTAGACCTCTGATTGTTAGACACTAACTCATCAGGATATTTTCGGTGTAAGCCACAAAAATCACTATAGTAAAGACAAGCAGGCCGAGGAGCTCACTCATCATGTTTCACAAAAGTTACATATGAGTATCACCTCACTCAGTTGAATTCTATTATAAGTATGATGCAAGTAAGATATTGCGAAAAGAACTAGTGAAGTATGTAGCCTATGTTCTAAGAACTACTATGTTTCTCCCTACACCCATGGTAACAAAAGACACCAAAAAGAAATCTGTATTAGGTTATGAACGCATCACCGCATGAATTGTCTTTTTTTTTCTCGGCGAACCGTGAGGGTCACGAAATCCTCGTATAGCGTGTTAAATCACTTCCATCCTCATATTAGATATCATGGGCCATTGAGCGAGAGGAACAGCCTTATGTCGATAACGTGACTATGCAGACATGGTTGAGCTCAGCGACAGGGACACAACTTCTCTGCAAATCGACGCTCACACTCACTCGGTTATAGCCGATGCGATGATAGGAGAGTTCTTTGTGATATTATCATATTGTCGTGGAGATTTTCATGTCTGCTGTAGCTCTGTTCCGATCCATTCCCCTCTCGTCTTTGAAGGAATAATGACCTCACTCCTCTTTCAGTTTCATTTTTGAAGCGCTCAAAACAGAATCTTGCTTGGTTTACGCCAGTTCCTTGGCCAAAACACATTCGAATGCCACAGTGATTCTGAAGCAGGCATCGTTGTGGCATGTGGCGCGTATTTTTCCCAAACTGGGCTTCGATCAATATCCGTCGAGCGGGTGGTTTTCTTCGATTACTGTCAGAGGTAATCGAAGGAAACCAATTGCATTGTGGAGCCGCCGATCAATGGAGAAGAGGGCAAATTACGTGGGTGGTACAAGAGAGCGAATAGTGACCGAGTTCCTAGCCCGAATGCGACCACCTCGTCCAGCGACCATTGCGACCCATTGCTGTCTCAGAGCTCTCCGATATTCGAGTCCCGTGTTCTGGAAGGAAGTGGAAGCAAAGCAGTACAGTCAGATGATTCCAGTCATTATATTAGCTCATCGTCATTTATTTTTGGGCAGAGGTGGTGTACTCGTAAGTGACGACACCTACTATGCCGACAAGCTGAAATCCTGTATCGGCTCCCGCACAGACCACCAAGCCATCCATCATCCCTACGGTGCTGATAAATTGATAAAGGACTCGTTGAGGGTAGAAACGTTGGTTTGAACGTCAGTTCGAATCCGGAAGTCATAGTACAGGCCAAATAGCTCAAAACCTCCACAGCTGTTCTGTGTCTTTGTTACCCTGCTGCCGTTTCTAAAACAATCAACTCTTGTAACATCATCAAAAATTCTTTTTTTATATAATCTGGTTTTTCAGTATTTCTTGAAGCAGGTTTTTGATATCAAACATGTTCTAGGCATCACTTTATATGTGATCATGTCGTCTAAAGATATTCTTTAAGGTGTATTCGATAGTGCGGACACATGTTTCACGATTGCATATTCATGTATTATGCTCAACACTTTGTTACACAATCCAAATGTGAAGGATCGACCGACCTTGGAACGATACCAAAGCATGAACAAGGTATGAAATGATTTTTTGACTCAAATTCGTTTGTTTTAGCTAACAATAAGTACAAGTAGTTACACGGTAGGTACTCGTAGTTACGGATTCTTAGTTCTTCAGTTTCTTCGATTGAGGTTGTTAGTAATCACTCACCTTTTTTTTTCTAGATGTAAGTCCTTTCTTATCGATCGCTATAAATGACCAGTCGGCTCGCCGGCTTCCTTCCGTGATATGGCCCAGCTTCGCCCGACCTATATTCTTTCGTACGTTC